TCATTTCTCCTGATCCCTGAGAAAAACATGCCTGAAGTCCATAATGGACACAAGACAATACTGCACCAACTTCATAAATTAAATAACCACTCCCATGTCCTCACCTCCTAAATCTCTATGGTTCTGGTCCCCAAAGTTTTCCTTCTCCAAATCAACATCTATTGGAAGCATATTTACCAAATGTTGTTAGTACAGTTTCTACCTTTGTTTACTTATTTATTTATTTAATTTGTTTCTTTTTTTAAGAGACAGAGGCTGGGCGTAGTGGTTCATGCCTATAATCCCAGCACTTTGGGAGGCTGAGGCAGGAGGATTGTTTGTTCAAGACTAGCCTGGGCAACATAGTGAGACCTTGTCTCTACACAAAACAATTTAAAAATTAGCCAGGCATCGTAGTGCCTGCCTGCAGTCCCAGCTACTCATGAAGCTAAGGTGGAAGGATCATCTGTGTCCAGGAGGTCAAGGCTGTGTTGAGCCATGATCACATCACTGCACTCTATTCTGGGTGACAGAGTGAGATTCTGACTTTTTTTTTAAGTCAGAGATAAAGAGAGAGAGAGAGAGAGACAGACAAGGAGTGCAGTAGTGTGATCATAGCTCACTGCAGCCTTGAACTCCTGGGCTCAGCTGATCTCATCTCAGTCTCTGGAGTCACTGGCACATGAACAGTTTCTACCTTTACGTGAACTGCGGTTACTCCACTTGAGATATTAGAGTTTGTATCTGTGTTTCTTTCATTATCTTGACACAGCAAGCAAAATCTGTGATAGAGTTTCTTTCTTTCTTTTTTTTTTGAGTTGGAGTCTCACTGTCGCCCAGACTGGAGTGCAGTGGCTGCTCCCGGCCACCGTAGCCTCGACCTGCTGGGCGCCGGAGATCCTTCTGCCTCAGCCTTCCAAGTAGCTGGAACTACAGGCGAGCGCTACCACGCCCGGCTCATTTTTTTGATTTATTGTAGAGATGAGGTCTTGCCTGTCCAGGCAGGTCTTGAACCTGTGGGCTCAGGCAATCCACTCACCTCAGCCTCCCAAGGCACGGGATTACAGGCTGAGCCACCGAGCCTGGCTCTTTTTTTTTTTTTTGAGTTGGAGTCTCACACTGTCGCCCAGACTGGAGTGCAGTGGCCACTCCTGGCCATCGCAGCCTCGACCTGCTGGGTGCCGGCGATCCTTCTGCCTCAGCCTTCCAAGTAGCCGAAACTACAGGTGTGTGCTACCACGCCCGGCTAATTTTTGATTTATTGTAGAGATGAGGTCTCAACAAGTTGTCCAGGCAGATCTTGAACCCACGGGCTCAGGCAATTCCCTCATCTCGGCCTCCCAAAGCACTGGGATTACAGGTTGAGCCACCAAGCCCGGCCTGTTCATTTATGTGTACGACACTTACCGTGTTTTTCGTAAGCTGGAAGTACTACACTACTCCTATAATTTAGCATAACATCACTATATTTTCTTATGATTTCTCAATTATTTATAGATGTCACATAAATATAGTTTGAAATAATATATGATGTTTGCCTCAAAATAGTAAGCATTAAAATTTCGTTAAAGAAAATAACACTTTCATAACTGCAATTAAATTGTTTAAACAGAATGCTCGCCCCACTGGGTAAAAGGTATACAGCGCCACCATGCTATAAACATTGTTTTGAAACATGCAATGTGTGGTTCAGACTTAATTCACATATGAATTAAATCATATTATATTATAATGGTATATTATATAAGGAAGAAGAAGGCTTAAATGAAAAAGCAATAGATATTTATTTAGTATGCGGTTTATTTACATGTACAAAAAGAGTACATAATAGGCAACCCATTAAAATAAAAACACAGTTGGGCTGGGCTTGGTGACTCAGCCTGTAATCCCAGCACTTTGGGAGGCCGAGGTGAGTAGATTGCCTGAGTCCGCAAGTTCGAGACCCGCCTGGGCAACTTGACGAGACCTCATCTCTACAATAAATCAAAAAATTAGCCGGGCGTGGTAGCGCGCGCCTGCATTCCAGCTACT